AAATAACTCAATCCCATAGCCACCGTCTCATGACAACTGTTACATAGATTGACAATACCTTTATGAGCCTGGTGATCATGTTTGTCCAAATATAAATATTTACAAATTCTCCCACTTGGACAATATAATCGAACACGATGATGTTTATGTATCACAAAACATTAGACAATATTTGTTAACATAACCATAAAGTATCAAATATGGTTTAACAATATTTATCTAAGCAAACATGCCTTCATAGTCACAAAACAGATTTTAGATGCAAAATATATGTGCAATTTTGTACTCCAAATTTAGCTAAACATTGTATCAACCATAAATTAATTTTCAAATATAGTAAATCAAATATACCTCAAAAGTAATAATATTTCAATTGAATAAAATCATGTTGAATTCTAACTAATATTGAACATGACCCAAAGAACATATAAAATTGTGATATGCCCAAAAATCAATTTTTAATGACTAGTTTAACCGATTAAAGTGGCCAATCAAAACGATGGACTAACATAATATTAATGTAATTAAAATCAATAATTACATCGTTAAATTTCACATTTATTATTATTATTATTATTATTATTATTATTATTATTATTATTATTATTATTATTTTAACTAAATCTAATCATAAACTAGCATATCTTTCTCCCTTTACCACATCAATAGGAAATTTAAAATAATAGTACTTTGACTTGAACTGTTTAAAATAATTTCTATTTAAATCCTAAATAAATTAGAAATGTAATGAAAATTAAAAGTTTTTGGAAGTTACAATTATAATACTATTGTAATTGCTCGAACTATCATTACCACACCGTTGGAATGTATCAATTTTATGCATGTGGTCACATCTGCTAGATATTGGTGCTCCCATTTTATTTCCTAGGCTTGTATTTCAACTTGTTGATTTTAATATATAAAATCATTGAGTCACTTTTCAAATCATATGAAGCCATACCACTCTAGATTTATTGAGTCACTCTAAATTTATTGCAAAATACTTGTATATGCACAATTATTAATGATTACATAAAAATCACACAATTTTACCTTCAACTTCAAGCATCGCAGTTTGGAAAATATATTTCCCTTTCGTAGTCATCAAGCAAGCAACAACTTGTAATCAAATGGTAAATAAAGCCAATCTTTATGTGAAAACATATGTGCAAAATCTTTGAAACCTTTCATCTGCTTAACATCTTAAACTAATCAAAATGAACATTCAAAAGTTTCTACAAAATATTCAATCATTGAAATATGGTTCTTGAAGTAACAATTAACAGCCTCTTTAATGTCAAATCAATCATTTTGAAGAAATTTAATTTTAGTGATTTCTTTTTACTTGTACAAGAAAAACAAGGTATATGAAGAACTTACCTTCTAATAACATGCAAATTTAAACTTTTAAATGAACTTCAAAATAAAGTTGGTTCTGACATTTGCACACTAGATGACTTGGATATACTTTTAGTTTGACTAGAATACATGTCCCTTTTAATGTGCTCTCTCTCTCTCTCTCTCTCTCTCTCTCTCTCTCTCTCTCGCAAGATTTTTTATGATTCCTTGGGTTATAGTTTAACTCTTGGTCTTTTGAAACCGTCCAAATGTAGTTTTTATGTCCTCTTGAAGATTCAAGGTGAGAACTCTTGGAGATTCAAGTTCTTGCTCACAGATTCGGTTTTCATTCTTGGGAACGTTTCCCCCATTTTGTTTCCCAAATTTAAAATTAATGTTTCTGGCTTATCAATTTCAATTGTTTACCAGACAAATCTCCTGCAATATTTTTGTAATGTTGACTGTTTCTGCAGTTATATGTTTCCTTTTTTGGCATAAATTTCAAAAAAATTTGAACTTTTTGACCAAAATTTAAGCACTAGCCTGGTTAGGCAGTGATTCAGTCCCATGTGCAACAGATCTTTGCCAGCAAGCAGCTTGCCGTCCAGCTGCTTTCTTTCTGCCATTTAAGATTTGCCTGCATCATCGGTCCCTACAGATTTTTAATTCAAGCAGCCTGCCTTCCAGCTGTTTGAATTATACAACAGAAAATGACGTTTCATTGAAGCCTATCCACTTTGCATGAATGCAATCAAAGGTTCATGGCAGCATTTGTCTCGTCCAGATACTTGCATTGATTTCCAGCAGCCTGCTTGTTTGAAAGTTAATGGCTACTTACGGTTGTTCTCTAAAGAGGATTTTGATATATTAACCAAGTTTGTAATATTTTGAATTATATTCCGTCACTTGGTTTGGATCACTAGATCATTGGATCTTTGTAATGATTTACTTTGTATGCCCGGAGTAATTTTACCCAATTTTGATCAATACAAATTTATTTACCGATTAAAAAAAAATGATTGGTATATTCATTTAGAAGGCTTAGTCAGCCAAATAAATTTCTTTTGCTTGCTATACTACTATGGTAAAAGAATCAAACGAAGACTTGTGAAAGCTCTGCTAGAAATATAAGTCCCGTGTGAAAGATGGGAACAAGAAGGAATTGATCAAAACGTATACCTTACTTCATGAAATATGTCTCAAATGACTCATTCAACTCCGTTAGATAGGTTTTTGTCCAGGGTTGATTCGTTTAGATCGTCAAAAAATGTAGGCTATTTTGCGTTGTTTGTTTATCTTAATAGGAGCTTAGATTATTTTTTATTTTTTATTGGTTGGTGGTCTATCACTACTGTTTTCTTCCACCTTAAGTGAGTGTTTTATGAATAAACAACTAGAGGAACCGCCTTCTTTATTTTATTTTATTGAGTGTTTTCTTCCACCTTAAGTGAGTGTTTTATGAATAATCACCATCTATCATTTTGCTTCTCGATTCTTTTTGTTTGAAATTGAAAAGATTGAACAATTTATTGTTAACATGTCCATGTTTGGTTCAAAAAACTAGATTACAACAATGATGTGATCTGTGTCAATATCAAAAATCTGATTTCGTCGACCTAAATCTTAAAATAATTTATCATAGAGTCTGCATGACTGTTTTCCTTTTGATATTCAATATTTAATAGGTACTTTAGTCGATGTGTTTTACATAAAAAAAATAATAATAATAATTATACAAATATGAATAAAGTATCGACTTTTTTCTGAATAACATATATTCATGTGACGGAATGCGGTGGCACAGGGTCGAAGGAAAAATTCATAGTACTCCCTCCATTCATATTATTTATTGCTCATTTCATATTAACATTCTTTTTCCAGCTTGACTTGAGGATCGGAAGGTTTTGACAAACTATATTGTAGGTATTCACATAGAATGATGGATGTAAGAAACTACACTGCAAAGAACTATCTTTAACATGTATGTATAAGGTATATATACAGAGTGTTTTAAGATTTAAAAGATTATTCTTCTTTCATTTTAGAGTTATGCTGCTTGTACACTCATTTCTTACAATATTGGTTGACAATCATACTTATCAACATCACATTCATCAATTTCAAAAATTGTTTTTAAAATTAATGAACCAGATTTTGACAACATCAATGTTGTCATCCATTATTGTCTACAACAATGTTTGGCCCCGTTATTTCAAATTATAATGGGTAGAATAATTTTTTTAGAAAATGAGTGGTTAAAAAAAAGGAAAATTTTTCGATTTAAGTGTAATATTATTTTATGGAAGATTATGTGGTTAAAAATATGAGAGGGAAAAATGAAATTTAATTTAATGGGGCCAACAAGGCTTAATTTTTCATTTAATTATGTGACCTCTGTACAATTGCCCCTCTTACACGCTCA